GTGGATTCTGAAGAAATCTATGGTGGTAATTAGAGGAATGGCAGCCGTCCGCGTCATTTTTGTAAGAGAAACGGTTCAATCAAGAGGAATGACCTAAAATAAATTGTTGGTCAAATTTTTTTCCGATGAGGATATTTTGAGAATTTTTAGAGATTCTCAACATTATTAAGTTGTTTGAATGAATTTGGATTCAATCTTAGCTATTATCCTTTTTTTTTTGTTATAATACTATAAAGTTTTAAAAAAATTAAAATAAAATAATACGTAAATTAAGAAAAGAAAATTTTGTTATTTGTTACTTTTTTTTTGGAGGGTCTAAAACTTTAATTGTTACTTTTTCTCTTTTATTAATCATACAAAAATATCGTTGTTACTTTTATTTCTAATTTTGTAAAATAATACATAAAGTAATGTATAAAATATAATATATAAATAAGAATATAAAACATAAATAAAATAAAAAATTTATTATGTAAAAATAAAATTCGTAAATAAAAATCAACTAAACTTATGAGATATGTTAATTAATTAAGGAAAAATTGTATAAAATAACAAACTATTAATTAAAATTAAATACTATAACCACGGTTTCATTTAATTCTAATTCGTAGCAAACACTTTGCCATTCTCCTCTCTCCCCAGATTTCTCGCTCGCCACTCTCCATTTCTCGCTCACCAGTCTCTCTCTCGCCTCTCTCACCTTATTCAAAAACAAATGTATAAATTATATTTCTGTTTGTATAAAGCGAGGAAAAACTGTATATACATATCTTTTCGTTTGCCTGTCTCCCCAGAGAATCTCGCTCGCCACTCTCCCGGATCTTGCTCGCCGCTCTCCCTCGCCTCTCTTATTTTATACAAACACAAATGTATAAATTGCGTTTTTGTTTGTATAAAGCGAGAGAAAAATATATTTACAAATATAAATACAAATTTTTTCGTCCTATCCACTTATAATTATACAAATATAGATCTCCCCCCGCTTAGTTCTCTTTAGCCTTTCTCTCTTTCTTGCTTTATACACACACATATTATACAAATAACAATGTATAATTTGTGTTGTATAAAGCGAGAGAGTGAGATTTGATATACAAATATTTTATTTCGATTCAATTGTGTACAAATTCAAATTTTGTGCAGTTATACAAACACAATCATTGATACATATACATAGTAGTTACATATATACAATTGAATTGAGAGGCTGCCAACGATTTATACAAATCTGATGCTTTATAGCAAGCATAAAATTTGCTATGGAGCGCAATTATACAAACTATAGCTATAGCATATAAATATGATTTTTATGTTTGCTAAACCTAAAATTTACTCATTAATTAATAAGGGATATATTGATAAATATGTACATATGTAAGGGATATTTTATCTTTTAAAAAATTAATATTTTATTTCTGCTTCTGCCTTTTTTTTAAAACGTAAACTTTTAGCTTTTTCCCAACACCATAAAAAGTATTTTTGCTTCCACTTAAAAGCAGTTTTCAGAATTTGTCAAACACTTAATTTCTCAAACTAAGCACTTCATGGCCTCCCAACAGCAATGTTAAACATGCTCTTAATAGATTTCTATTAAATACTTAAATTATTTAATTTGTTTGACATAATCAAGTCAAAATAGTATGTCAATTATACTCCATCTATATAGATAAATTTTAAAATATGAAAATTACATTCAAATAGCTAAATAATAAAATGAGAATAAAATTGTGTATCTATTGTGACAAAAATTATTTGTCGCAAAATTATAGGTTAAATAGAAACAATAATATAATCGTCGCTAATTATTTGAATTATTAGTGACAAAAAAAATAAGGTCACAATGAAATGTAAATTTTGTAGTTAATTTTTTGTTGATATTCTCATGTATATTAACAAAATATAGATTTATGTACACAAGCAAAATATAATTGATGTATACATACTAAAATTATCATATACATCAACTAAATTTACACGTCAATATTTATGAAGAAAAATTAATGTATACATATACTATATTAAAAAAAAATCCATAAATCATGTAATTGCAACTATAGTTGTTGTTAATATTTTATGTATACAAATAAATATAATTTATGTATATGTATTGCAGTTTCTAATTAAAATCTCTATTTTTTTATTTGACTAATTATTGCTAATAATCTCGTAATTAATACACGTTAATTGAGGATTGTAAATACATTTCATGCCTTAAAAATAGTCACATTCTTTTCAATGAGTTAATTAAAGGATTAAAAAAGTATATTTTTCCTTCCTTAAAAGTTAAAAGTGGATGTAACCTTTTTTTGATGGGTTGATTAAGAGTTTTTTTTTTTTTCATTTCTTAAAAGTAGTAACAGTTTTTTAACAGGCTAATTAGAGACTATATACTAATTAAATTAAGATTAAATTTTATGTATAGCATATATAAAATTTATAATTGTATGCTATGGCTATAGTTTATATAATTGCACTCCATAACAAAATTTTAGTTTGCTATGAAGCTGTCTTTCTGTATATCTCGGTATTCCTTCAATTTAATATACATTTTGATTTTTTTAAAATAAAATAAAAAGGCGGTAATTTCGGTTAGAAAAAATGGAAAAAAATCACTGAAGTCACGCACATTATGTTTCAATCAAATTTCCTTCATTCTATGTCTTCTTCAACAGTAAGAAATCCATTGTAACTCAGTTCAGAAAATCGATCAAGTTGTTGACGGTACAATACAAACAATAGAGATCATATTGATTTTAGAGATAACAACAGGAGGTGATTTTCTGATGAAAAAAATACTTTGATTTTTTTTTCTGGTCGAAATTGGTGTTCAGCGTGTATTCAAAATCAAATTTCCTTTTAAACTTTCATCAATTTCAATTGAATGTAGATTTAGAGGTGTATATTTTGTTCATAATAGAGTTTAACACTTATGATTTGTATAGTTAATTTGAATTCTAAGAAAATTTGTGATTTGCAAATTTTTTGGATGAAATTGTTGATTATTTTGAATTTTTGATCGGAGATTCGCTTTTTTCACAGTAATATTTTTGTTTGGATTTGTATATTTGGTGTCAAAACTATGAATGAAGATGAAATTGTATTAAAATTTGTTAAGAGTTTATATGTATAGGTGCTTTGATATGATTCACTAAGATATGTATAATTCATATATGAAATTGTTGACTATTTATTTCGAATTTGTATATTTATATCGTGCAGCTTCATCCTAATTTTGGATATATGATTCTATATATTTTTATATAATTTTGTAAATTGTATATTTGTATATAGATTTAATTTGTATATATAATCATTTATATAAGTGTATATTCAGAATATGTATATAAATGAAAAACTAAATTCGTTGTAAGTTATATACATTTACCTATTAGTGTTGTTGTGAGATGTATAAGTATATGAAAATGTTGACTGTTTATTCAAATTTGTAAGTTATATACATATACATATTAGTGTTGTTGTGAGTTGTATAAGTATATGAAACTGTTGACTATTTATTCGAATTTGTATATTTATATAGTGCAGGTTCGTCCTTATTTTGGATATTTGATTATGTATATTTATATATAATAGGTATATGTATATGTCAATTATTTTAGGTTTGTCAATTGTATATTTCTATAAAGCTTTAATTTGAGTATATAATCGTTTGTATAAGTATATAATGGGAATATGTATATAACTGAAAAACTGAATTCGCTATAATTTGAATAAGTATATGTTCTTTTTGTTGTTGAGATTCTCAATCATATAAATGTATATGTATATATAATTTAATTTTTTTATACAGAAATTCTAAAAATGGCTTCATTAGCTGTGTTGGTTATGCATTCTGCTAGATGGGACAGTGACAATTATTACGTTGATTATACAGTTAAGGGGGAGATTTTTAAAGAAAGTGCATTGTATAAGGAGTTGTATAATGTTAATGCAATGCAACTCGGGGTTGATATGAATGTAAACATAGCAAAAACCAACAAGCAAGAAATCACACTTTAATCTACTAAAAGAAACCCTACAGCAGCAGCCAAAACTCGAAATAAACGAAAATCAAAAGGTGCCCAGCACTCTTTGAACACTCTACAATGAAGCCACGACAATTCTCAACACGTGGGACTTCGAATCACCCAAAACCGAGCTAAAATGAGTGAGATATGGCCAAAACAAAAATACCAAAAAAAAGGATTCGAAAAGGCACTGCAGTCAGGTTTTTCGCGAAATTACCTCAAACGGGAACCCCAAACCACTATCCAAGCTCACCAACGCGTTGCCCTCGAAAAATCTCACAACTTTGCCTTTTGAATCGCCCAAATCGGTTGAGAGGTGAGAGAGTTAAGAGAGGTTGAAGTTTTGGGAATTGTTGCTGGTTTTCTGCATTTATTGCAGAAAATCTGCAATAATTTCAAAACCTTAAACTCCGACGGGGTGCTCCGATCTCGTTCGGAACCCCGTGCACGCAAACAAGATATGCAACCATACCAAATTTGATAATCCAGACTCAACGGCGCAGTCGAAATTTCCATCAGAGGTCATTTCGATAAAAAGTGGGTCCCACTTCCAAAGGCCATTTTAAGCCAAAACCCACAAAAGGGCTCGGAAAGATATCAAAAACCTCGGGACACAAAAGAAGGGTCAATCTAGACCAAACTCGACATTCCGGAGCTAACTGCACTGACGGAATTCTCATCCGAGCGCGTTTACTCAGAATGTTGACCAAAGTCAAACTTAAGCCAAAATTCAAAGGCTAAAACGCCTAATCACACCGACTCACACTGAAAATCTCGGGAGTCATGTCGACCGTGTTACTAGCTTAAAATGACCCTTTCGGAGCTGATGAAATCGTCAGAATTGGATTCCGATGTCATCTTCTTGAACTTTTGATCGAAAATGATCATTCAAGGTTCATAAGCTCCAAAACAGTGATTAAGCTAAAAATTGAGTATAAGGTTGAAGAAAGCAACACACCAATGTTGATTCACAACGACATGGGTGTTAGAGTGTATATCATGCTTAAAAAGGCTGCAAATGACTTCAACAAGTATCCAATTTGTATAAGCAAACTGGATAATAGTAACAATACCACTAAATTGTATGAAAGTTCAAATCAAGAGAAGGGTATAATTAGATCTATTTGTATAGATGGTATTGCTGAATTTGATACTAGGCAGATGACAATTGCTGAATTGGTAGAGCCGTTTTGTGTTTTGGGGTCAGGGAGCTGCGATGGAGTCATTTCAGATCCATGTAATAAGTATGTGGAGGTTGACCAAGTGTATAAGGACAAAGACACTTTAAAATCTATGATGGAAAAATATACAATTGAAAAGAGATTTCAATATAGGACAGTGAGGTCAAATGCAATCAGGTAAATAGTTTGTTTTAATTATTCGTATATTGATGTGTTATGCTCTATTTGTTGATGTAGTTATACGCTGGAATGTATTTCTGATGAATATGAGTGGTTAATGAAAGCATCAAATATCAACCAAGTCTGGAATGCTTAGGATCCGAGCATTTAATACAAATCATACTTGTCCTTTGAAGGATAAAGTATATTCACAAAAACATTCAACAAGCATGCTGATTGGTGGGATTGTTAAGCCTAAGCTTGTTGATCACAAGAGAAAATATACACCTTCTGATATTCGGAGTGATGTGAAAATATATCTGGGAGTTGATGTTAATTACTCGTTGCCTTGGAGGGCTAAAGAGAAGGCTTTGATTTCCTTGAGGGGCACCACTTCTGCATCTTACAACAAACTTCCTGCATACTTGTATATGATGCATATTACATATCCAGGCTCGCATATACGTCTGAAGAAAATCGACAAAAATGAGTTCTTATATCTTTTTGTTGCGTTGAATAGTTTCATACAAGGCTTTGATCATTGCAGGCCTGTAATCATTGTTGATGGAAGTCACCTAAGAGGACAGTATAATGGGACGTTTATGGCTGCAAGTACAATGGATGGAGCAGGTATGTTTTAGTGTGTTTTTGAATGTATATTTTTTATTTTATGTTAATTTGTATATAAATAAAAAATGTAGGACATATTTTTCCACTGACCTATGGTATATTGATTAAGAAAATGACGTCGGTTGGACTTGGTTCTTTGTACAACTAAGGGAGGCTTATGGGAAAAGGAGTAAGATGTGTGTTGTCTCTAATAGAAATGAGAGCATTATAAAGGCAGTGACAAGAGTGTATAATAATGTATCGCATTATGCTTGTATGTGGCATTTGTGGGGTAATGTTGAAAAGAAATTTAGAAAATCCTCCAAGGAGCTAAGTCCTGTATTTTATACAATGGCAAAGACATGCAATAAACTTAAGTTTGATAGGCTACTGGATACTGTAGAAAAGGTTGATATAGGTGTTAAAGAATATTTGGAGCTAGCTGGATATGATAAGCGGTCTAGGTGTACTCATCGGGGATGGGCTATGACGTCTAATATTGTAGAGAGTATAAATGTTGCACTAGTGTCTGCGAGGGATTATCAATTTTAAATTTTCTGAAAGAGGTTAGACTGATGTTTGGGAGATGGAATCATGACAACAAACATGAAGCAACATGCACATTTACTCCGTTGATTGAAAAATTTCAGAATATACTGATCGAAAATGAAGCAATGAGCACACGAATGGGGGTATGTTTTATGTATATCTAATATTGATTAATCAGTAATTAATTGTTTTAAAATTGTATAAAGTTATATACACAGTTAGAATTAATACATATACAATTGCATAAACTTATACATATACATAAATATGTTTGTATGAAAAAGATTATGCCGTCAACTGAATATATACACAATGTGACTGATGATGATAGGATTTTTGTGGTCTGTTTAAAGAATAAAACATGCAGCTGTGAAAAGTTTCAATACGAAGAAATACCATGTGAACATGCTTGGGCTGTACTGAAGCGGAAAAGTCTAGTAGCTGATGGATATTGCTCGGATTTGTATAAATCAATGACAGTTTTGAAGATTTATGAGATACCAATTTATCCATTGCCTGATGTAGTAGAATGGGTGATACCTGAATACATAATGTATGATGAAGTTCGGCATCCAAAAGTCAAAAGACCTCTAGGAAGGTCAAAAAAGAAACCTCGTACAAAAATAACACGTGAATTGCTTGGTCTCAAAAGGAAGCATACATGTAGCACATGTGGAGTTGCAGGTCACAATAGGCGTTCATGTAGAAACAGGCCTCAAGAAGTTTAATGAGCTCTTTCGATTATATTAGAGTGTAATATTGGATTTTATAGATACTTGAATGTTATTCGCAACTGGTTTTGTGTTTAAAACTATATGAGTTGGAATAGTGATGATGGAATAAATTTGTTATGTCCTATTAACAGTGAGCATTTTTGCTCTTCTTTTTGTATTCATTCTCTTGTATATAGTATGAGTAATCGTTGTTGTATATATTGTCCATCATATACAGAAATTGTATATGTATAAGTTATATTGAACATATTATTCTCTTTGTATGTATGCTAGTACAAATAATTCTATGTGTATTTGTTCTATTGAAATATTTTCCCCTTTTTGAACAAAAAATGTATACGTACACTCTATATTTATACTTTATGAACGATTGTATAAGCTGGCTAGATTTATATAGTTAATGTATAAATATACATTGTTATTTAAGTGGTTGTATATTTATACTTTATGAACGATTTTATTAGCCTAACAATGTATATATATCTATGTACTCAACATAAAACATACTCCTAGATTTATACAGTTAATGTATAAATATACATTGTTATTTAAGTGGTTTGTATATTTATACTTTATGAACGATTGTATAAGCCTAACAATGTATATTTATATACTCAACATAAAAGATACTCCTAGATTTATACAGTTAATGTATAAATATATGTTGTTATTTAAGTGGTTTATATATTTATACTTTATGAACGATTGTATAAGCCTGACAAATATATATATATATATATATATATATATATATATATATATATATATATATATACACACTCAACATAAAATATACTCCTAGATTTATACAGTTAATATATAAATATACATTGTATAAGTTGGTTTGTATAATTATTAAAGTGTTAAACTGCATATATAATGAAATTAACAAAAAATAAAGAAGTGAAAGACTTGAATGATCAAACGAGTATATTACAACCAAAAAACTGGAAAGTTCAAAACATTCAAAGTTATTATGCATGTCATTTACATGTACAAAAGAAAACAGAAATTTAGTACTACTGTTTTAATTAATTGTGATCCTTTCACTGCTATCGCAATCCCTGTGAACCTGATTGGCCTTTCTGGTGCCTCGTTGTCACTAGTGGCATCGACTTGGATCTTTTGCATTCCATAATTTCACAATAATGCAGCATATCGAATACGTGTGAACTCTGAATCAAAGAAATTTGGAACCCCATTTCCATTACTGATATGGTCTACATAAGCAGCAACATATCCATAATCGCTGAAAATAAAACACATCAAATTTTATGGTCATTATAAAATTAACAATAACAATAGAAATATAACCATAATAAAACTTACAAGCTTCCTTCAGTTTGTTGTGGTATATCCTTGGCATAAATCATTTCAAATGAGTCAAATTCAGAGTGGGACTTATATTTCAGGTGTGAAGATATGTTAATGTCTTTCTTTCCGTAAAAACCAAACTTAGATAGATACCTGAAAATAAGTTGTACATATTTCTTGATCTCATTTTCAACTTTGGAATCGTGTAGTGCACCACCATTAAAAGAATCATAGATCGGTATACATCTATCATTAACGGACACAACAATCAAAATCTAGTGAAAGATCTCTTTGACATTAACATGAATGAGAATGTTATCAACTGTGTGCCAAGGTGCAGCAACATGCATTTTGTATCCATTAATGTACTCAAGAATCGACTCTTCCGTACCGTCCCTATTGATATTACTTTCAAAGTTACAATAAGCATCCCAAATGTTGTGAATCAAATTATTAAAATTGCAATTGGCACTGATAAAACTGAATGTGTTGTTGTCAGAGTACTTGGTTGTTTTACGTATGTAATACAAAATGACATCTATGTGTTGTAAAAATAAGTAGTTATAATTTGTATAAAATTGTCACTTATATCGAATATATCAATTGTATAATGAAATAAATAATATCACGCTTACCGAGTCATCAAGTAATTGATCTTTGTATGCAAGCTTATAGAACCAATTCTTATTTTGGACAGTGACAATTTCAAAATGAACCACATTTGTAAGACATCCTTTTTTCTTTTTGTATCGCTCTTCTTTGTCCTTCCTAACAAAATCAAAATCAAAGTAGAGCTTTATACAAATATACGTATATATAATTAAATTTGTATATTTAGTAAGTACAAAACGATTTACTTTGTGTTATGCTTAACAAGCAGGCCTTCATTTAACCATTTCCAGAAATGCATATACAGAGTTGTAAGATCCACATACGACATTGAAACAAATGGATGTTTCAAATCAAACGTGAAAGGAAACCTTGATGAACTACCTGAAATGTATAAAGTCATAGATAATCATTATAAGACTAACATTTATTGGTATGTCTGTATTATTGTGTAAACAATAAATTTTGTTGTACCCGACTCTGATCCAAATAATGTCACATAAGGCGATGTGTTGAATGGGCCTAGACGCCTTTCCCTAGGAATTGGTAATGGTGTGTGCTCGTCTACAGCTAACAAAGGATGTAACACCATGCTTCTTTCTGGATTAAGGTTTGATTGGTCATCATGTACCATCTGAAAAGGTGTTGGACACATCAAAACTTCTTCAACAACTAATTTATTGGCATCAGATGATCCTGGTTTGTTTGTATCTGTAAATTTTTCTTTTTCCATCTTTTCAGTTTGATCGTATATAACATTCAATAAATTCTGCTATTGTATAAATAATAAACAAAAAAGAATTCAAATGATCAAATTATATACAATTATAAAGTCAAATTTATGAAGATAAAAATTGAGAACTACATACAAATGATGAATTGTTGAAGTTTGCTTGATCATTCATGAATTGGGATCCCTCTTTGTTAACTTCAATTGGAACATCTTGACAATCCTCCTTCTAAATATATAATAGATGTAATATAAACAACTATTTGTATATTATAAAAAAAAAACAGTTATTGACAAATTCAAACCTCAGAAGTGTTTTCAACCTCAGAAATGTTTGAAAACTCTGATGTGTTCTGAACCTCAAAAGTGATTGGAGCCTCAGAATTGTTGTGAACCTGCAGCAAATATCACTTGGTATGTTAATAATAATTATGTCTACATAATTATACAATTTGTTATACAAATTGAATGTTGATATTAAATTATACAACTGACAACTATACACGTGTTGGATAGTTAGTTAATTGTATATGTGTACTGACCATATTTGTATACGTATATGTATATGTATGTTATTTATTTGAAAAAATTTAAATTGTATATGTATGTTTAGTTTATTTGTATATAGCAATTGATAATGTTATTTATAACACAAAATTAATAAATTATTTGTGGCTCGGGAGTGTTGAATTGTTGATCTAAAGGGATAAATCCTGAGTGTCCAGCTGGAGACTGTAAATGTGACTGGTGAATACTAACTTCTGAATTAAATGATAGGACTGTTAAGAAAATATACATTATATACAAAACATCATAAAATTTTGAATGATCAACAAGATAAATAAGTATAATACCTCTTGATCATTTAGATTATTATAAACAGATTGACAGCTCAATTCAGAAGGTGAATGTCGAGAAGGTTCTTCGAATTGATCGACACTGATTGTTGGCACTTTATGTGTAACTTCTACACCATCGCCCTGAAGTGAAAACATTAATTGTATATTTGTATTTTTATGTATAAAATCTATGTATTGATCTCTATTAACAAATCTTAGCCTCCGCATTCTTGGTTTTGATAGAATCCAATACAACTTTGAAGTTCTTTTCAATTAAGTTCCTTAAATCAGTAAACTGTTTCTCCATCTGAAATTGGACATATATAGGTAACTTTAATGTTAAATATACAAATTAAATAGTAGTTGAATAAAAAGAAAATTAAAAAAATCAATATTGATATTTTGAATTGATCAAACTCATCACGCAATACTAAAATCAGGTGACTTGCTGGTGGATGGTATTTCAGAAGCAACACTTGATTTAATCTCAACATTTTGCTTAATGCCTGTATAGAAAGCAACATTAGCACGTTGTTTAGCTTGCCTCTTTAGAAGTGGTGACTTGGGTCTTTTTGGAACATTGGCATGTCGAGGAGATTTTCTTAAACAAGGCTGCTTTGAAATAACCTTGGGTGGTGTCTTA